TCTGCATAAAGTCTTCACTACTATAATCAAATCATATGTACTGGTGTCTGGGCTGTCGGTTCCTAGAAACTGAGCTGTCGAATATGAAGGAGAGTCCACCACCACCATATATATATATATATATATATATGTGTGTGTGTGTGTGTGTGTTCATACATATATATTTATATATGTACTTATTTACATTTGTGTATGTATACATTTGTATCACACACACACTCTCTCTCTCATATATATATATATATATATATATATATATATATATATATATATATATATAAATTATTTTTAAATATATGTTTTGTGCCGATTTCATTTAGTTTTCTCTTTTTTTTGTTTGTGCCTTTAACACTTTTGTTATTAAATATCCATATAAAATTCTCAGCGTCCTCTCTCCTTCACGCGTATCAACATAATCATCATTTTAGCCCGATGAAGTCCTAAAAGACGAAACGCATCATACAAAAACTTATTCCACTTTGTCATAAATTCCCCTAAAATTGTTCTTGATATATAAAAAAAATTATATATCCTTTTCCTATATATATATAACTTCCCAACATCTAGTTAAAAGGCCAAACATCAGAATTTTAGGAAACCTCTTCTTCAGCACTTTTTCTGACGAAGAAAAAGTTTCAGAAAATTATGTAGCTTTGTCTTTAGGTTAGATGTTTGGAAGTGAATTGTTTGTGAACTTCCGTGCCCATTTTTATTTTATGCATATTCATACAAAGATAAAATGGTATATTTTCTTTCTTGTTGCAGTCCTACCAGCAATCGGATTCCAAGTTAGGCATGGTAAGTATTATTACAATTTATAAGCAAACTGACACATGAGGTGAGGGTACAGTTCTTTACAGACTGTTTCGTTTATTTTCTGTGAAAATTCCAAATTGACCTGGTTCACAAATTCCCTCAATTTTTTACATTCCCTTTTACACTGCGAAAACGATTAGTATTGAATGAATGGCAGACGATTTAAATCTGGACAATACTTGTCAAATTGAATGCCTAATAAGATGACGTTTCCATTGAGTCCTTTGAGAAATTAGGCTAAACAGAATCAGTGGGAAATGCCATAATGGTAGAGCGCTAACTTGCCTAAAAAAAGTTAGACCCTAAATATGGCAGGTTTTATTTTTCGAAAAACCAACGAGGTGGTAGACATTATACGAATGCTACATTTATGATACTGATATCAAAGAGAGAATGTGATAAATGGCGATGTCAATCTTTGAATAATGACAATGTTATAAAAAAAAACTCAACATTCACCTGGCGCTTATTTGAGAAAATATTTTTAAAATTAAAATATATCAATGGAAAACAATTTTAAATGTGCTACAGAACTTTTTTTTATATATTTTTACAACCAACTGTCATACGAAAATTTTCTAATGAAAACATCACGGAACCGTTATATTCTATAAATCTCTGGCTAATCTATACACGAGTGTTCTTAAATAATCTGCTAATCACAAAGCAGGTCGAAGGATGGCATCAAAGAATAGACCAAAACTATAATTCATTATCCCAAAATAACAAGATTTATTGATCTAATTACAAGGCAAGAAGGCGAATAGATGTTCACCGTAATGTGTGATAAGATGAAATTTTCATTGAATTCTTTTATTAAAATTTAAGGTATAGAGAAGGAGTGGGTAATGTCTTAAACAGTATACATGTGTGAAGACCAACAAAGATCAGTGAGTTGAGAACAAATAGATTTTAACAACCAGAACGGTGTTATTTTTCCAAGTTTTTGGTTTTGTTTTGTTTCTCGTGCAGGATCTCTCAATAAAATATTTTAAGTTGTCATCGATTCTTACGGACTCTTATATCAGGGACAAATGCTTTGGTTTAGGCAAATACATATGTCTGCCTTCTAAAAGCAATCACGTGTCGTGTTCATTTCCTTGGGGAACTGCGTACGACTTGAAAGAGAAATAAATCCAGTAAGAACGAAACTATTTTCCCTTTGAACGTCAACGCATCTAAATACTTTATTGGTACGCATTGCACTAACGTTTTGATAACTAAACCCCATGTTTTCTGAAACGATTTATTGCTATTTTTCAAAATTATTTTTGCATAATTTACCATTTGAAGTAAATGCTGCTTTTTAATCCACCTTTGGTTTTAAATATTAACCGATACAATTACAACCTGTCACATATGGATGGCCTCTCACATACTGCAAACTGATAAGTGTCTCGTCAAAGAGGTAAAAATAATAATAAAAAGAAAAAGTAATATATTAACAGGAGGCAAGGTAGAATAATGGATAGCATCTTGGATTGAGGAATCGGAGAGCCGAGTTCGAATTCCAGTTGAATCATTTACATTCACTTACGTACTAATAACCTTGGGAACATATGGGTCCTATAGCCTTTGATGGCAACCGGTCTACCGCAGAAAGAAATGGCAACCTACTGCGGGTAAAAAAAATCTGCTTCGTCAGTCATGTATCGAAAGATCACGCATGGCACATAACTCACTGAATATGTTAAGTAAATTGGCTTAACAAAAAGAAAAAGTTAAATAAAGGATAATACACCTTGTCACGCGACATAATTATATATCATGACCTTGTGGCTTTGGAATATACATAAAATAAGTCACAATTGTGAGTATTTAGGCCTCATCGCTCTAGTTATTCGGCTCGAGATATATGTTCGGAACTGTTTAGACGAAATTTGGGTGTTTTTTGTTGTTTTTGAACTGAAAAGAAAATTACGATTTCTTTTCCTCTTAATTCTGTATTAAGGGTTCGAATAAAACGTGATCTCTCGACTACGACTAATGCTAATGAAGTTGTATTTTCTACATCCAACTACCAGACTAGACAATCATCGGCTAAAGAAAGAAGATCAGTGGTATATATTTTATTTTTTACTATGCCTGTTTCATGGTCGAATGTATAATATTGCGCTATGTATTCGTGTTGACTCCAGCTGTATTAGTCATTTCCAAACGGATGGCCATTTCACCCATGACATCTTGTATATCAACGTGTAAAAGATCAAGAAACAAATGTTCGGTAATGAAAGACTATATTTCATACACGGTCACAAAAGAATGTATTTGAAGAAAATTGCGGTTTTGTTTAGTTAGAGGACGGTGAATATTGTGTTAGATTAAAAAAAAAAGATATTGTTACTAACGTTCAGTTTTCAATATAGACCAAATTTCAGAAACATCGGACATCATTCGGAGGATGAGGTTACTTATATTTTCAAATTGTTCAATTTTTACAATCTAATAGACCATTTACAAACACGATCTGTTAGATTGGCTTTGTTCTTAGCTGCTAAGTGTTGTAATATTGAAAATTTCACTGAAAACTCGCAAAATAAATGAAATTGTAATAATCATTTAATCCTTATTTTCGGATTTTATTTCAATTTCATGAATCGGTGATAATTTTTGTCTTGATTTTAATTATGCTGTGGTGCATACTGTGTATGTAAATTAAGAATAACTTAAAATATTATTTCCCAACAATCTGCGAAAATTCCTTGTTTAATTTTTCCATTTGGTAATAGCATTTTCGTGGTGGTGGTGGGGCGATATGGAGCAAAGTTTAAGCTAATTTTACAGGCTATCACTAGTGAAGTGAGTTCAATCAACACTGGGTGCCAAAACATGATTTTATACTGCCTTTAGGTGTGCCTTTTCTATAAATACTTTTATGGTAATTATTCTGATGAACTTACCTCTATGGTACATAGACTTTATGAATTTAAATTCAGTACTAGATTAGCGGGAAGGTCTCATCATTTTAAAGTTGAAATGGCTAGATGTATGTTCTATGCTAACAGTTTCTTCTATAGCACTTGTCAATTTGGAGCCGAGTTCAAATTCTGGCTGCATTCGTTGCATTCACTTTCGCACAAATACCATTGGAAATGGTATGAATCCATATTTTCTCTCCACAGCTATGGATTAAATAAGAGGACAGACTGGGAGCATCATATGCTGTAAATATTATTATTATTAATAATAATAATAATAATAATAATATAACCACGAATTATGTTAGGCAAGCTTTAACGAAATCCCCAGGAAATTACAAGGTGCTAAGTTTCTGACTCTATCATCTGTCATAAATCCATAAAACCCTTGCACAAATCCTATCAATGCTTATTAATAATCCCAATGAAATACCGAAATGGATCATTGAATGTATTAAAAAAGTGAATCAATTGATCACGTCTGTCCTGACGAACCGTACTTTCTCTTCTCTCGAAACAAACAACATTCTTCCACTGGAACAAAAGGGTTGCCGAAGAGGTTCATATGGTTGCAAAGATCAAATACTCACAGACAAGTACTGGCAGACTGCAATGTATCTTTGAAGATCTTAAAAAAAAAACATCAAAATACAAGAACCTTGAAATGGAAATCTCAAAAATGTTGCACATGAAGACATTAACAATTCCAGTTGTAGTTGGAGCCCTCGGATTGATTGGAAAAGATTCCAATAGACTCATTGAAGAAATCCCTGGTCGCCCATGCCTTAAAGAAATACAAAATATTGTTCTCAGAAGTACAGCTCACGCCTTACGAAGGGCTTTATTTATGTAAAATGTGTGAGATATTTCTCACAAGTACAGCTCACGCCTTACGAAGGGCTTTATTTATGTAAAATGTGTGAGATATTTCTCACAAGTACAGCTCACGCCTTACGAAGGGCTTTATTTATGTAAAATGTGTGAGATATTTAGTTGTTTTAGTTTTATCTTGATTTTGATATTTTTTTCCACTGAAGTGCTATTTCTGACAGTAAGTCTCTGGTTGGAATCCGGAAGCAAATGAGTATACAAAAGAAATCAATGGTGATGATGATGGTAATAGCAGTTGTTGTAGCAATTATTTTGAAAAAAATTCATTCAATATTTTAGCAAAAGAAAATTATGTATGGAGTTAAACTAAATTTTTGGTCTTCCGAAGATCTTGGCTCGCTTTTCGTATCCTTATAAAGTGTTGTCCGATGGGCAATGGTTGACCCGAATACCAAGAAAAATATGGCAGCCGACATTCAAGGTATTCACTTTCTCAACCCACAAGAATGGGGTTTCTTTCATAAGATTTTTTTCTTTCTTATTTATTTACAAATCTGTTTTGTTTCTTTCGTCATCGTTTCTCTCTTTTCTTTCTTATTTTTCTCAACTTTCTTTTTTTTTTCTCGACACGACAATCGCGTTTCTTTCTTTTACTTTTTCTCTTTATTCTCCCTTTCGAGTATGCATAGCTTCTCTTCTTTTTTCGATTTTTTCTTTTCAAATTTCGTCGTCAGTAAATATTTCTTTTTTTTTCCTTTTTTCTTCTTTCTCCTTTCTTTCTTTTTCACGTTTTCTATTTTCTTTCGCTTTTCTTTGTTTTCTCCCCAAATTCTTTCTAACTCTTTTCCTTTCAGACTTTCTTCTCGTAGACTCCTCTTCAAGTTACTTTCTCTCCTTTTCTTCTTCTATCCTCATACCACTTCCCAGTTTTCCCTATAACACGCTCTTGTTTTCACTGACCATTTTTGTCAGTGTTTAAAGAAATATCTACCAACCTTGTTATGATTTGGCATGTAGCCAAAAAAAAAAACCAAAAAACCAAAAGCGCCCTGAATGTCAGAGAATTTGGGCACTCGACATTTTTTTCTTTTCCTTTTGACTTTGTTGTTTCCTATTTCGATATTCTACGGTGGCTTTGAGATCATCATTATAAAATTGACTTGTTTTCTCTACTATTCTCAGCATGTGACAGATTATAAGATCAAACGTGTGATAACTCCAACGGAAATAGTCCTCACGTGCAAGTACATGTACATACAGTGCAGTTTTTATATATATATATATATATATATATATGGGGGGATGTATGACAAAGTGGAATAAGTTATCGTGTGACGTGTTTAGTCCTTTAGGATTTCACAAACTTTAAAAGAGTGAAAACGTTTACCATGTTTATTTAATTAAGATCTTTATACGAAGGCCTTTCTATAATGGTAAAATTATCCAATATATAACTGAACACTTTCACATTAGATGCTTGCAAATTAAAATATTTATAAGAGAGAATAAATTCAAAATTCAGTTGATGTCAATAATTTACGTGTTTTTTTTTTCATGTAACGTAAAAAAGAGTGCGATATCTGTTCATAAATTCAATAGATCTAACTTAACTTTGTCCTTGGTGAAACTCCTCATCGGATGATAAGTCATTCAATTATTTAACTATTCTCTATCTATTTATCCACACGCACGCGCACACACACACACACACACATATATATATATATATGTGTGTGTGTGTGTATAATTGGGTATTTTGGCATCAACTCCTCTTTTATACAGGTTTCATTGAGGATGACTGACAAAGCATTGCGCTTAAGCCTTGCATTATATTTTTCTTGCATGCATACAAGTGTTTATTTATTTATTTTTGAAATAGTGTGTAAGAACTGTCCAAATGATCTTTGGATCCGAGCACTTTCAGATAATCTATTAGCCAATATCAAGGATGTTTTTGTTTGTCTTAATATGTAGATTGTGATGGATATTTTCTTTTAGCAATAGAAACGTTTTAATTCCCTGAATTTGTTATATTATGAAATAACAGTTGCCAGTATTGGAGACGGCGATTTTAATGATGTAAAACGTGGAGAGCCAAAAGATCGCATTGATGGGTGAAACTGGCAGTTACTATGTAGTTTTAATTTCCATGTACATACTGTCTATATCTTTCTCCCTCTCTCTCTCTCTCTATATATATATATATATATATATATATATATATATATAAGAGAAAGAGGTTGTAGTGGTTCCAACGAGAGAAAAGTATGTATATTAAAAAGAAGAGAAGACAGGTGCCGCAAACGTTTTTGGTTGTAATGTGGATTTTTTTAGAAAAAAATATTATGCTTTATTTTCCATAATTTTACTACACGAGTTTCTGGTCTCGCGACCGTCTTCAGGTAAAAGTGGAGATTTCCACATATTAAAAATAATTAATTTTTTCCTTATGTTTTTCAATGTTATCTTTTTAATTCTTTTTAATATATATATATGTGTGTGTGTGTTGGAATGCGTCACGAAAAAATAAATGACTTCGTCTCTTTCTCTTCTGCTGTCGTAGCGACGGACACAGTCTCCACTTCTGAGACTGAAAACTGACCTCCTTCTCATTCCAGCCCTTTACATAGAGCTTGGTAACTCACCTATGCAAAACATCAACAAGCCAGCTACCAGTCACAGTTCCCCCGCTTGCCCACCTCCACTCGCTTTGGGGGTTTCAAGTTGACCGACCAACTCATTACACGACCCCTGATCTTAAGATCACAAAGCTTCTCAGTTCGAGAGATGGTCGCGTCTGTCTGGTGACTGCGTCCGCATATATACAACTTGCACGCTTGACATATTGGGATAACCACACATGCGCGAACTCGTTTGCTCCGAGGTGGCAGATTTCCAAATTCATCCCGTGTCTCGCTGTCATGCTCGCACAACGTGCAACACGGGGCAGGCCTCTTCTGCCGGGCACTCCTTCTGAGCGGGATGACAGGGTCCTCATCCTCGGATGAACTCTCATCCGTTGAGCTACTATCCGCCTCTGGACAGCTGGCCACGTTGACGTCCGCAGGTAGAGTACTGATGTTTGAGGTAGAACTCAGTGGATCCGACTTTAAATACACCACTCGCGCACCATCTTCAGAGTCACTTTCTAATGACGGTTTTAACCCTACAACTGGCCGCAAGTCTTTAACATGACGAGGCACGCCATCAACCCGCACTGACTGCGGGCTGATAATCTCGGTAACATGCCCCATTCTAAGCTTGTCCGTACACTTGCTGTGCGGGGTCTTAACCCACACTACGTCACCAATTCTGTATTTAGCTTGCGCGTCGCTCGGAGCCATTGCGATGTCAATGCCTCGCAGCCGTAAGTGATAGGCGTGCACCATGTTAGCCGGTGCTGTTGTAGGCGAAACACCGTCTTTAGGCGTCGCATTATACCAATAGACTGCTTCGGGGATCGAACATCGCTTCCTGGCTGCAATCGCTTTTATAGACCGGTGGCTCCTTTCTACTATGCCGTTTCCCGCTGGCACGTAGGTGCACCGGAACCGAAGCCGCACACCCCACTTCTTTAAGAACTGCGAGAATTGCTCTGAAGAAAACGCCGCACCATTATCCGTCAATATTTCTGCAGGTGGCCCCCGGTCGTAAAAGATGGACTCCAACTGACGTATTATGCTGGCAGTGTCCTACCGGTGCAGTAGTCGCCAAATGGCGAAGCGAGAGGGTCCACAGTCAATAATAGTCAAATAGTGCTGGCTGCCAACATGCGTAACATCTATCCCCAGCCTGTTCCAAACATGGGTAGTACTCAAATTTCCTTTTTGCCATTGCACCGGTGCCGGGTCAATTGACTGGCATGCCTCGCACCTCTGTACTACTGTCCTAACATCCGTCTTTTTGACTGCCGGGTCGACCATCTTCGAGAAGTAGAGCGTCCGTTTAATCCCAGGATGCCCACACTGTTCATGCATGCTCATGATCCGCTCGAGGTCCATACTGAGCGCAGAAGCCGTACACGGCAGCTGCAGAGGTTCAGACTCTTTCCGAGCAGCAGCCAACCAACGTTGCGGGACGTGAGTCAATGCATCTGCTCTGTTGACTGCCGATTTAACTAACACTACATCCACAGACAGGCTGTACTCTTTGATAATTTCAACCAGCGTGGTGAGCCGCCTTCGTATCAACATCTCGCTCGATGCCTTGGTGGTCAGTCGCGCTCTTCCGCTAAGTGCATCTGATATTCAACGCTGGGTGCATGCTGAGTCCGTGACGATGGGTAGCACTGTTGCTTGCCATTGGAGCGCCAGGTTAACCCCCTTCAGAGTGACGTCTAGTTCAGCCAGGTTTATGTGTCGTGCATCATTTTCAGGTCGTAACCAGCAGGCGTCTTCTATGATGGACCCGTTATCCTCAAGGGCGACACCCATGGCCAACGAGCTGGCATCCACCCAAACGGTGAGCTCGTTCCCCTTAACGCACCAGTCACCTCGCACGGGATCGTCTTGCATCTCTCTCTCCATAGTTTGTTATCAGGCATCTTAGGGTAACGTCGTGTACCTCATCATCCCATCCTGACGAAACAGAAGTTACGCGGCGCTTTATGGCTGCTGCCGCCACTCTGAGCCAACCGCATACGGGAAAATGGCCTACCAGTTTCCCACACATGGAGAAGGTACTCCGACGAGTGATCACTGGCGGGACTTCCGGGACATCACTACCTCGCCTCCAGCGAAGTTTTTCTCCATCACTACTGACGTGTAGTCCAAGTACATTCACTCCATCCTGTAGTGGCTCTGGGGCCTTTGCACACCAAGCCAAAGCGTTCTAGATGTTCCTTAGTCCTCGTTGAAGAGGCCATGTTTTCATTGACGTAAACATCGTCAATATAGGATGACGTTGCCCTTCGAATTTCCTCATCCTGCGACATGACCACATTCATAATCGCTGACATGATTTTTGGAGCCACATTAAGACCAAATCCCAATCGAGTGAGGCAATATCTCTGTCCTTTTACCATGACAGTCTGAAAGGGCCAGAGTGATCGGTGGACTCGGACTTGGAGGTAGGCCCTTCTTAAATCGAGGGTGGCTACATTGCTCTCTTGCTGTCGCCATTTCCGCAATTTCTGGGCACAAACGTCCGCGTTGGCCGTATATGCATCTACAAAGGTATTCAATTCCCTGTAGTCCATGACCGGTCTCACTTTCCCCTTATTCTCTTGCACTATTGCCATCAACTTGGGGGGTTTCAAGTTGACCGACCAACTCATTACAATATATATATATATATATATATATATATATATATATATATATATATATATTGGAACGTTACACTTTAAATTTAATTATGTATCAATTTTACAATTGGCGCTATGTGTATAACGGTTACGCGGAGTTTGACAGCACTGAAAATGAATATATTAAACAAATTATATGTATTATTTTAAGCTATTCTAATACTAAAGTAACAGCCTACATTCAACACAGTATCTTTCACTAAAAGGGAAGGCATTTTAAATGTTGTAAATTAAAATTTAAAAATGTATCGAGATCTTTAGGTGCGCTCAATTTCTCTGACTCTTAACTGATTTTTTTTATCCCTTACATAAAGTTATAAACGATATCACTCGCTTTCGGTACATAAACATTGAAATTAAAATCAACTTTTATCCATTGTAACTGATAACGTTAACGTTCTTGATAATCACTTGAGATTGCTGGAAACCATCGTATAACGACATCATTTGGATAGTTTCTTTATAAATTTGATCTGGCAATGCAGCAACTCATTCGTCGACTGGAAAAAGGGTAATTAAATATCTGAATATACACCCTTCATCGGCCGAATTCAATAAAACGTGTTTGAATTAATTCTTGTTGCCTGTGAGTGAGTGAGTGAGAAAGAGAAAGATGCGATTGTGTCGGTCCCTGTTTTTTAAATAGTGAAATTAATGCCTACCTACTTACAGATCAAAAGTCTTATTAAAGAAAATGTGCCTCCCGACAGAGATCGAATCTGCATTCCATTTCATTCTGAGAAACCGATTTCAAGCCTGGCGTGCTTTGTCATTAAACCAAAACAAGCCATTACAGCAAAGTAAGGCTCAATTACCCTACTTAGAAAATGCACATCTCTTTTTGAAACCTTTCGAAGTCGAGATCTGCTAAATTTATTTCTGTACCCCAAACGCAACCAAAGTGATTTGTAATCAATTAAGGGATTTTTTAATGCAGTATTATTTTTTATTACAAGCGTTATATTCAATGGCCGCTCATGTTTGAGTAGATATCTCACAAGCTCTAATGGTAAAGTACGCTTGGCTTGAAAGCGATTTCCAAGATTAAAAAGGAAATACATGTTAAAGATACATTTTCTTAATTAAGACTTGCGTTTCCTCGGAGAACATTCATTTCACTGTCTAAAAAATCAGGTATATCTACTGAAACACATATACCCATTAAATGTAACGTTTATAGTAATATATTAAAATAATGACTATTTCTTTTGCAGTGTCTTTGTATGGTCATGGACGTCCAAAACCACAAAAGAAAGTTATTTTAAGTAAGTAGCGGCCATCGTAATTTCATAAAGAATAATTTACTGAATTTAACACAATAACACGCTAATTTCGCAAACTATTACTAGTAAGTTCAACTCCTAAGTGACTAAATTCTGAGAACGTTTTAAACTAGACGTGAAAATATTTAAAAATTTATCCATACTTATATTAAGGTAAAAAAACATCATCTTCATTGTCATTGTATGAGTGAACCAAGTTAGAATGTTGATTTATCCTCACTCAAAGCAGCAGCTATCCTCTCACTGAGGAACTTATCAATTTCTTCTCTAGCTTCTTGATTGATTCGGTTTTTTTACAGTTTATCAACCTTATTTAAAGTCAGAAAATATTTTTAGATTGTAGGAATCATTTTGAAGATAATGATTTACTTATACAATTCATACTAATTAAACCATAATTGGGAGACAAAACAGGTGCATTCATACCTTTCCCAAGGGTATTTGCGCGTAACTGAACACCGTGAACCTGACTGGAATTGGAACGCGGCTCTGTCGATTTCCAATTACGAGTCGTTATCCATTGCACCACCCGCACATCCAAACTTACAAACCTGGTATTTTTAAGTAGTCACCCATCCAGGTACTGACCAAGATCGACATTGCTTAACTTCGGCGATCGCACGAGAACCGGTGTTTCAACCTGATATGGACGTAA